CTGCCTCCCCGCAGGAACGGCGTGTGCCCCGGGCCCCCTCCAGCATCGCCCGTGGGTGCACATCTGCCTCCCAGCTGTGCCCGGCTCCGCCCCCAGAGCTTTTCCACCCGCGCCGAGCCTCGTCCCCCCCGTTTCAGTGGTGACCGCGGGCTGCGCTGCAGGCGGCCGAGGGCTGGGCAGCTCGGCACTGCGGGGGTGTCGGTGGGACACTGCTGTGGGGCATCTTACTGCTGTCTAAGCCAGTGTCCTGCAGCCCCCCCGAACTGGGGTACAGGTGGGGACTTGGAGAAAATGACAGTTGAAGGGAGGAGACTATGAAACGGAAAAGCCCAAACACCGGATTCCTCTGGGATAGTAAGGGTAGGAAGCGGTTTGCCATGAGAAAAACAGAACATGAAGCCTGTTTCGGGGAGAGATGATGTCATTGACTGAGGCTGAGTGACCACCTGTGGGGTTTTTAACTGCTGATTTCTGAGCCCCTCAAGATTTACATGCCCCACAGCCCCTCGGGATTGCTATCCTTGCATGTAAATGCTTCCCCACACACACCCTCCCGTCTTCTTCATTTTGCTCAGTTCTTGCCTGCTTTTCCCTAAAGAGGAAGGAAAACAAATGTTGTGCTGCCAAGACCCTTACTCAAAACAGTCCTGCAGCTTTGGGATCAGGGTCTGACCGTTCAGCCAATACACAGTTTACATGTGTAAAGGCCAGGCTGGATGTGGCTTTGAGCAACCTGGTCTAGTGGAAGGTGTCCCTGCCCATGGCAGGGGGGTTGGAACTGGATGATCTTTAAGGTCCCTTCCAACCCAAACCATTCTAGGATTCTATGTTTAAGGCTGTTTTTGCGTCTCAGAGCGGGCACCTTTTTATTGTAGTGATGGCAGGCAGCTCCCCTTAGTTCAGCTTCTCTGGCTGATGCTGCGCAAAGTCCCTGTGCAGTGCAGGAGACCCTGCTTTCCTGTCCCTAACGCCCCCTCTGTGCTTCCATTTCACATTCCACTGAGGGCTCAAGATGGCTGCAGATAGAAAATCCACATGGATTGCCAGCTGTGGGGCGAGAGCTTTCAAGTGTGGATGCATACTGTGCATAGCATTTCCAAAAAGTAGGTGTTTGGGGCTTTTTTTTCCATTTAGGACAGGTAATAGACACCTACTTTCCACTGTCATAGCTTTTGCTGTCCTACAGCTTGCTTTGGCTGTGTCGTGAGAGAAGGACTTGAAAATCTTTCAGTGCTGGTGATGAAAAATCAGCAGGGTTGGGGAGAGTCTGTGCTGTGGGCATCCATCCCTGGCACCTTTGTCTGGGCTGTGGCTGGGGAGCAGCTTGCTGTACTCGCACTGGTCAGCGGCTGCTGCTCTGACTTCGCCTGTCCATCATGCCAAAGGAGTTTGCTGCAAGGCTGCAAAGGGGCTGGGTAGGAAGAATGTCCCCAGGTTGTTTTCACACCAGCTGGAGTCTCCTTTCATCAAACCTTCCTGCGTCAGGAAGATTGAGGCAGAGCAGAGATAAATAGGCTCCTGGGAGATTTGGGATGGAGATTCTCATCGTCTCGTTCATGTCTGTTCAGCACGATGGAAGCTGCAGCCTGTGTATCGATCCGTACGCTGAATGAAGTCATTGTGTATCCCCTGGACTCATGCCCTGAGATGGGGTCTCGTTCTGCTGCCTGACTTGTGTCTCCTCTGCGCTGGTGCCCTGCGCTCTTAGATGGGTTCGTGTCAGAGGAATGCGGGAGGAGCAGTACACTGCTGGGCTGCCTGGGCAGGATTTCTGTCAACAGCGTGAGCGGGAACAAGTGTTTGTCGGTGTAGGTTCAGCGGTACCAGTCTAGGTCTGTCCCGCTCACAAGGCACATGTTCTGAAGTCCTCCTCAGTGCTTGGGTTTGGTCTCTCTTTTCCTCTCAACAGATGCTACAGCTGCCACGGCCCCAGCCCCTGCAGCAGACATCTCCGCTTCTCAGGAGGTTGAGCAGGTGTTCGAACCGGCTGACACCTTGCCCTCCCGGAGTGAGGCAGCCGCTGTGCAGCCCGTCGTCGGGATCAGTCAGAGGGTGCAGATGAACTCCAAAGAGAAGAAGGACTTAGGCACACTAGGTACAAACGGAGGATCGTGTGACGGATCCATTCCATGGATTTGAGGCTCTGAAAGCAGTGCTGTGGCTGGATCTACTGCCTCTACTCTTGCCTCTTTCCTTTTTTTCCTTCACAGGGTATGTCCTGGGGCTGATCATGATGGTGATAATCATTGCCATCGGAGCTGGCATTGTCCTGGGATACATCTACAAGAGGTCAGTGGCTATTCTCTTCTGTCCAGAAAGCTGGTGCAGGCAGGGAACTGTGTGTATAGAGGAGGAATGTGTGAGCACTTGCAGACCCAGCCAGATGTGCCTGAAAAGGCAGGTAGAAGCTATGTTCTGATAGGGCACATTGTGCAAGAGTTTCACTGAGGAAAGAAGTATTGAGGAGTTAATCCCATTCTTCTCCATTTCACCCATCAGCCTGGTATTCTGTCCCATTTCAATTTTCAAACCACCCTCTTTATTTTTTGTCTCTGCGTGTGTGCGCACACGCCTTGGCGTGGCTTTTCCAGGTGCATCCAGGGGAGCTGAGTTTTACCTAAGAGCTGGAGAGAGCAGATCCCAGGTGCCCTCACAGGAAGGTTGTGATCAGAAAAAGAACAGTCCTGGCAGGCCACCTGCTCCCCTCGGAGGTCTAGTCTGGCTACCCTTAGAAGAGTAACAATTGGCAAACTCCTATGAAGCTGAATATCAAGGAATACTTTTTTTGTCAAGCAAAGTTCATTTTAGCAAAGCTCCTGCATGCTTTAAGGTCTGTTTTACTCACACTTAAGTTAGGATTCGTTCAGGCTCTTGACTGTGGTGGACAGAAACATTTCTGTAGCTCGGACGGAGGTTTGAGGTTAGCGGTAATTGCAAGCAGCTTGGTTGTAAGAGACAGGGCAGGATTAACAAATAGCAGTGAATGTTGCTGCAGCAAGTGAAGGCCCAGGCTCCCTCCTCTGGGAGGGTTTGTTCTGTATTTTGGCTGTTTGACAGCAGTCTGACACAACCAAGCAGAAGGAGCCCTTTCCCAAGCTGGGACATGTCCTTATGTAAGTGTTTATAATAAATGCCGACAGAAGAAGAAAAAAAAGTGGAGGGAGGAGTGTTACATAAGGGGCGAAACACAGAGCTGCTTGTCGAGGAATCTGATTTGAGGTGTTGCTTCAGAGAATGCTGCCTCGTGTGCTGGCAGAACGGCAGGCACACTGCGGCACGTTCTTAGGCAGTTTTGAAAAGCAGCCAAAATGCTTACGGGCTGACAGGAAGCCCCAGCAGCTCTGCCTGGTTGGGATGACGAGCCCCAGGAGGAGCGTGTGCTGTCTGTCCCACCTCACTCCCGTCTTCGGCGGGAAGAAGCAGCGGGCCAGTGCTGAGCTTTGTCCAAGTGCGGCTTTGCTGCTTCAGTCCCAGAGAGCTCACGGCAGGGCTGCGGTGCGGGTTTACTGCCTCCCTCTCCATGCCTTGCAGGCTGGCAGGTCTGGGGAGGGGTGCTGAGAAGCCTTTAATGGGTTGAGTAGCTTTTGGTATACACAGCTTTCCTGGAGACAACGTGCTATTAATGCCATTGAATTTTAAAGCAAGGCAGTTCTTCCTCAGTACAAATTACAGAGGTGTCGCCTCCCTTAGCAACAGGCTGAAGACTGGGGTAGGTTTGAGGAGCTGGTTGTGGCATTAAGCTGTTAGCTGCAGCGGCAGAAGGCAGGGCCAGCTCTGAGGTAAGCTTTAATGCTTTCAGGAAGGGCTTCATTTGCTATGCAGGTTGGTTTGCTGCAAGAAAAGGCAGAATCTGTCACCACCTCCGGTGTTTGTTGCTGTCAGATGAAGCAGGTTACGGAAGCCCTTTCCCCCAGCAGCGGGCTCTGTGCTGTCCCGCTGCTCCCCTGGGCCCGCACCAGGCCGGGCGCTGGGGCTGTGAGGTGCAAGGAAACGCCTGTCGGCTCCGTGGTTTGAGGGAGAAGCCTGGCCCCGCAGCCGTCATTCAGCGGCGATGGCAGGCAGTAAAGCCAGTTCACAGTGGAGGGACAGACTTCGCTCGGCTGCTTGTTTTTCAAAGCTGCTCAGGTGGAGCGCTCTGCTTACAGCAGGGAATGTTTCTGGCCCTTTATATGGAGCTGAAACGTCTGTTTCTTAAAGAGCAGGGTCCCTTCCTCTTCAGGGCTACGAAGATGATCAGAGGGCTGGAGCACCTCTCCTGTGATGAAAGGCTGCAAGAGTTGGGCTTGTTCAGCCTGGAGAAGAGGAGGCTCCGAGGAGACCTCATTGCAGCTTTCCAGTACCTGAAGGGGCTACAAGGGGACTGGGAGAGGACTTTTTACAAGAGCCTGTAGTGACAGGACAAGGGGGAACGGGTACAAATTGAAATCAGGGAGGGTTAGATTAGATATCAGGAAGAAATTCTTCCCAGAGAGGGTGGGGAGGCACTGGAACAGGTTGCCCAGAGAAGCTGTGGATGCCCCATCCCTGGAAGTGTCCAAGGCCAGGCTGGATGAGGCTTGGAGCAACCTGGTCTAGTGGAAGGTGTCCCTGCCCATGGCAGGGGGGTTGGAACTGGATGATCTTTAAGGTCCTTTCCAACCCAAACCATTCTATAATTCTATGATTCTATGATCCTTCACCTTGAGGGAGACTGCCAAGCAGCGGCACTCGCCCCACGCACACGTGTGTTTCGGTTTCTGTTTTAATCTAGGGGGAAAGACCTGAAGGAAAAGCATGAACAGAAGGTGTATGAGCGTGAAATGCAGCGCATCACGCTGCCCCTCTCAGCGTTCACCAATCCTGCCTGCGAGCTCGTAGACGAGAACACCATCGTGGTGCACACCAACCAGACACCCGTGGAGGACACGCAGGAGGGCAGTGGCCCGCTCATGGGGCAGGCGGGTACCCCCGGCGCCTGAACAGCTGGGGCAGGAGCGGCACAGGCTGAGCAAAGCCTCCAGCTTCCCACCGTGAGTGCGGGGCTGCGTGTGTTCATTTCTATTTTGTTTTCTTTTTGATGAAAGCCAGGTGAAGGTGATGCAGGGGGACAGAACAATGGGCTGTTCATCACGATCTCTTTGAGGGGCACCATTCAGTGCGTGACCAGCTGGGGACTGGGGTGGTGGACCCTGCTGCTTCCTCCCACCTGTCTCCATGGCACCCCAAGGAGCTGGGGGGGATGAGGGGCCAGGCTCGCAGATCCCATAGCCCAGAGCGTGGTCTTGGCTTCCTCCTCGTCTGTTCCTTTCCTCTTTAATGGTGTGCACTGTTACTTAAGTTTCAGCCTGGAACCCCAGGAGGGAGCAGTACTGCAGGGACCGAGGGGAGCTTCACGTCAGGCGTAGCTAGATAATTACACTCCAATTAATAGTTCCTGCCTTTTTGCTTTAGTGGCTGAGAGCTGGAGACGCTGTCCAGAATCCTGCTACTGGATCAGTCTGGGTTTTTTTCCAGGGAAGAGTTTATTTGAGGGATGGCTTTGGCCAGGAACAGTATGTTCAGCCCCAGTGTCAATTTGGAAAAGTGTTTCTCAAGCTCTTGACAAATCCAGGTCTTCCAGGGCTGAGGCCACATCTCCATTCCCCTGCGGTGCCACAGGCACAGCCACAGCTGTAGGTGTCCGGGTGGCCTGTGCTTCCTGCTCACACAGATCGGGAGGGCAGAGGTCAGCAGCATGGTGGTGAGGAGAACAAACTGCCCTTCAGCTCCCTATAGCAGGTTGAGCAGAGGATTGAGAACATCCTCTTCAGATGCCTTTGGCTTTCTGCGGAGCCAGCTCTGGCCAGAGTGGCCAGGGCAGCTGCGGAGGTCACCCTGGCCACGATGCAGCGGCTCTTGCTCGAAGGGCAGGGCAGGCCAGCTGCTCTTGCAAGATCCCGAAGTCATGGCATGGCTCCTGGCCCAGCCTCCTTCACACACACTCGGCTTGTGCAGCAAGACACAGAGCCTGGCCCTAGCAGAGAGATTTAGTACCAACATTTGTTAGTGTTTCAGGGGGTTTAGGAGGGATGGTTGCTGCAGTGTCTCCCAAAGGGCACCAAGGCCAGTTCAGGGAAACATCCATCCTCACCTCAGGGGATTCAAGCCATTCAAGTAAGTTTTTTAGCCATCTGCTTTACAGCTGTGGGCCTAACGGGGAGCAGCACTTGGCAGCAGGGGTTTAGTGTTAATGTTTGATTCAGAAAAAGGAAACGTTTTATTTTTAAATGCCTTTGAATACCATTTCTTTGTAAAATGTTTTAAATACCTCATTATGAGAAGGTGCAGATTGTGCTACCTTGTATTAAAGCTTCAAAGAAAAATGCTCTGTAGGCCTGTGTGGACTGTGGCTCATCTATACGCTCCTCCTGCCAGAGCAGCATCCTTTTGCTTGTTGCAGCCTTCGAGCTGAGAAGGGAAGATGCCACTTCAGCCTGCCAGGCCCAAGGGTAAATGCCTGCAAGCGATGCCTCCTCTCACCAGCACTGATGAGGGGCATGGAGTTTGTCTCCTTACTGCCAGCAGCTGGTCAGACTGGGACAATGTTCCTGAAGAGCCGCTCTGGGGGGGCGAGCTGTGCTGAGGAAGCAGGCTGGCCCCTTCCTGCGCTGACGCAGCTCGGTTCTGCTTTGGTGCCACTCAGCAGCGGCTCCGTCCCTCGGGGCCTTGCACTGGAAAGCGAGATGGAGACGGAGCACGGCTGGTTCAGGAGGCACTCGCAGGGCTAGCGTTTCCATTCCGTTGTCGCCTTAACAAATGCCCCTTGAACTACGTCTTGTAGGGTCAGAGGTTTCTAAGAACAGGCTGTATTTTCACCCCCGGATCAAAAAAGGAAAATGGAGAGATAAAGGCTCCACGTTCGGCTGCCGTCTGTCCACCCTGAAGGACACCCAGTGACCACCAAATCGTGATGCTTTCTTCCATCGCTCCAGGTAACTGCTGCTGCAGAGCACTTCCCTGGGGTCTGCAGCTCTGTGGAGGTGGCAGTGCCCTTTGGCTCGAAGGAGGACGCTCTAGACAATACCTGCTCTCTGCGGTTTTGATGCTGCCATTTTGTGACAACAGAAACCCGAGGAAGTGAAAGTTTCCTGCTCTCTGTAACACGGAGAGGACACAATCCTGTTCTCATAGCATACATTTACTGCTTTTTAATTTAATTGGAACGTGGAGCTGTGCAAATCACAGTTCATACACCCCACCCACGCATCACCCAGGGTTCCCCTCTTCAGGGGTCCCCTCACAAACCAGCCTGGGAGAGGGAAAGGGCAAATCCTGCTAACAATCCTGAATCCACTGGACCCAGTTCAGAGGCTTCTCCTGACCGGCAGCACAGGGAGTCCCCAGTGTTTGTAAAACACCACTACAGACTGACCCCCAACCCCCCCTCCCCCGGTCAGGTGACGGCTGGTCCCATGTTATTTTACATATTACGGGGGTGGGGGGAATCAGAGTAACAGCAAAGACTAACGCCCACCCCCCACCATTCCGTACTGAAGGGAAGGGGGAGAAGGGAGCACACTAAGCATCCAGTTAAACCGAGATGTTGGTGAAGCTCAAGCAGGACTCGAGCCGGCCTTTTGGTCAGTTCCGCCAACCACACAAGCTCCTGCAGCAGCAGCTCGCCACTGCTCCCACCGAGGGCAGAAGAAAAGTGCTGGAAGGAAATAACACCCCTGCCCACCTCCGGATGACCCCCAAGCCCGTTTTTCTCCCCAAAAGCAGGGAACAACCTGAGGAAGGTTTCTGCTTGGAGAATCCACTCGGGTGCTGCAGCAGCAGCTGCGGGAAGGACCTGCAAAGGGAGCAGCTTGCGCAGCCTGCAGGGAAGGGTGAGGTAATGGCAACCAACGATTAGTTCCCCAGCTGCCACTCCTGGGAGGACGGGACATTCTCCAGCACGTTTCTCTTCGCGACGAGTAACCCTGGCCACGTCCCCCTTTGCCACCGTCCGCGCAGAGTCTGAGCCGCTTCGCACCTCTGGCTTGCTGAAGAGCACCTTCTGCCACCCTCGTGTCGCCTCACGTCCAACAGGCCGAGAGCTCAAGCGGCTTCAGCACCCCAGCGCAGGTCTACGCACTTGGGTTCCACCCAGGACAAGGTTCTTGGGCAGGCGCACGCGCTGGGCAGGCTCTGGGTCCGAAGATGCTCGTTTGCTGCTCGCCTCGTTTGCCATCAGGAGGGGAAGGCAGGGCTCAGTCTTAGTGTTTCTAGACAGGCTCTTGGAGGTATTCAGAGACGGGAGGAAATAACCCACAAAACCAAAACGAAAATTCATACACGCTTCCCCACAGACAAGGGATTTCAGGAGAGCTGCCCAATTCCTGGGGCTTTTTTACTCCCTCCCTGGATGCACACTGGAGGCCAAAAGCTCAGCGCGTTGTTATGGAAAACATGCACCAATGTACACACACACGCTGTCCTGGTGGGACTTCTGCCGATGTCCAGTTTCCCCAGCTTTCGGAGCAGGGCAGCCAGTGGGAGAAGCAGTTCCAAGTGCTGGGCCTTGCCCAGGAGAGTCTCCGGTAGCAACTCCCTCCCCGGCTGAGAGGCCGGGGTGGCTTCACAGCTTGCAGCCAAGTTCTAAGGCACCACAGTAAAGAAGCCTGAAAAGGCCAGAGAGAAACATTCCTCAAGCCAGAAAAAGAACGTCGAGCAGCTTTCCCAGGTGCAATTGGCAAGAAACAGCCCTTTTTGCTCCTGAAACGTGCCAGAAATCCACAGTGAATCAGGATGTCCAAGAGGAGGGGTGTTGGGTGGGGAGAGAGAGGCAATGCAGCAAACGCACAGCACGGTGCCCCACTAATGCCCTGGAAGTGGCTGGAGTGCATCTCCCTCCCTGTCGCTCGTCGACGGAACCGGTGCAGGCAGCAGGACGAGCTGACTAGGTTGTGTTGTCAGGCAGCTTGTCACGGTTCAGTCCGTACTGCAGACTCACGTTGTGGTCCAGCTCCTCCAGCTCCAATGGAAGGGGGATGGCAAGTTCTCCCAGGTAGAGGGAGAGAGCTTCGAAGTAATCTTCCAGCTTGGAAAAAGAGGGCCTAGAAGCAGCAGTGAGGAAGTGTGAGTGGGCAAGAGGAAGCAGAACAGCATCAGGAAAGGCTGAGCCGCCTGTTCATCCAGGCCGCTGTCCCAAGCACAGAGGTGTGAGCAGGGACACGATCCCTCCTCCCCCCCGAGATGGCAAAGATCCCACCCATCTGGGCTACACTGTTTTACAGCCGATGGCCAGGGAGATCCAGCCCTTCTGGACCCCGCCTGGCATCAACACTGTGTTCCACAAATGAAATAAATGAGGCCGTCACTGTCCAGAGCTGCTGCCAAGGTCTGCCCCTGCTTTCCGTGTGTGAGACGCCCTGAACCATCTTTACCCTCTGCCCCAGAAATTGTTCCGGAGACCTCCAGCATACGCGGCAGTCGCTCTCCCAAGCGGATGAGTCTCACGTGGAATCCTTCCAGCATTCCCACAGGAGGCTGGAATACAGCCCTCTGCCACCCTCTGTGCAGAGCACTCCTTCCCCTAAGGCGACACAGCCACATCCTCCAGGCTTACGAAGAGGAGTCCCCCCGAACCCAAACCTACCTGCTCTCTGGTTCCAGTCTGCAGCAAATAGCAGCCAGGGGGAAGAAGGCTGGAGGGCAGTCAGAAGGAACAAACTTCTCCCAGTTGACATTAAGGCCAAAATCCAGTGTGCGTGGGAGACAGTCCGGGTCAGCGTAGACCTGGCCTATGATCTAGGGAAAAACGAGAGGAGCGCTTGAGCACAGCAACGGTTCCGCTGTGTTAACCAGGGCACTTCAGCACTGGGCAGAGGCTCCTCTGAAGCGTCAGGGTGAAAGGGAAAGGGCAGGAACACTGTTCCTCCTTCCCAGTGGGGCTAGTTGCACGAGGGACCAAGCAAGGCACTACAGACAAACTGCACACAAAGCTTTCCCAAGACCTGGCGATGTGGCTGCTGTTGTGAAGGAAGGCCCAGATGCCGCCTTTTTCTCCGTCTCTGCTAGAAGACACAGGATGATGTGCACCTCGCAGAGAGCTCGACAGAGGCTCGCTGCCGGGCCAGCTACTGTGCTGCATGCTGACGGGGACGATGCAGCCCCTCCGGACCGCACGTAATCAACCTCCATCACCATCCCATCTCTGCCTTCTCACACAACCGTACCACACCGCGCCTGCAGAGCCTGCCCTAAGCCACACTGGGAAGTCAAGAGCAGAAATTCCGAGTTGCTCTGTTGCTGGCAGACCCCACCCACAGCCAGGGGGTAAGGGCGGAGAGGACAACCATGACCAATGCCCAGGAAGTTGCAGGGAAGAGCCGGAAAGCAAAGGGCTGGGTGGAACAGAGAAGCCCTGCCCAGCACCCCCAAGTCCCAGTGCTCACCACCTGCCCCGCCGCGGTGCGCTCCCCACCTCTAGCACTGGAACCCACAGCAGAGCTGTGGGGTGATCTGGACTCGGACAAGGTCAGTGTCAATACAAACTCTCACGTGGGGAAGAGTATTAGGTTTAAAGCCTCATCGGGTATCGCAAAAAGGGTGTTATTTACAACCACCCAGGCTTTTCTGTGCCAATAACTCAGCAGGACAACCACATCCTGTAACCAGACAGTGGAACGCCCAGTATGTATTTTGGCAGGGTTATTTCCTTATCTGTTTGAGTGTGTAACTTCTTTTTTTAGCATCTTTATTTTGGTGACAAGGAAAACATTCATATGCTACCACCCCTTTAGTTGTCTTTTCTCTAGATGAAACAATTGTTTCAATCCCGCACACGGATTTTTCAAGTTCCTAAATCTATCGCTCACAACCACAACATTCTCTGAGAGGAGGGCCCAGTGTGAACACAGCTCCAGATGAGGCCACAAAGCCTTATGCACAGATATCTTTGTTCCCTTCATCCAAATGCCGGGGACGAAACTGTACCGGTGTCCCCCCGTGTTCCTGTCAAGTGCTGTGTTATCCATACGCCTAACACTCCACCTTTTTTCGGTACTTCCACTGTCTCACACACCTTTTATACCAAATACACCTTGGAGCTCTTGAGTGCACACTCAGACACACAGAGAACTGGCTGACGCGAGTGTGTGCCAGGAGATGGCAATGGGGAAGACGCCCGTTGTCGTGTAACGTCCTGTCTTACCTCACAGAGAACAATCCCAAATGAAAAGATGTCCACTGTCTCATCGTAGCTCTGTCCTGCAGGAAACACAAGACATTCAGCTCTGTGATAGCTCCCCATCCCGCTATTCCAGGAGCTGCCAGTCCAAAGTTTAGCTAAGCCTGTTCTCTGGAGGGCTCTAAAACGGGACAGAGCAGAGCTTACACGTGAGCAGGGTCAGCTGCCCCAAGACATGTACCAGCTGCAGCTCCCTGTGCACAGCCCTCGTACCTTTTAACCCCACTTCTTTCTCCCTGGGGAATGAAAGGGCAGCACAGGGAAGCCGTGTGTGCCAGAGGTGTGAGCAAATGCTAAGGATACCTACTGAAAGCTGCTGCCCCTTCCCACTGACTGTGTTCTAGTGCATCTCTACAGCGCCCCGAGTCAGTGCTCAGCCTCCCCAGCAGCCAGCGAGTGCCCGGTCCCTGCTGCAGTGACTGCAGAGACAATAAATTACACATAGCAGCACTTCCAATCTGGAAAAGCAGACCGGCTCCAGCCTGCCGTTATCAGCTTACAGACAGGCCCCTCCCCAGCCAATATCTGGTAATTGCCCTGCTTTCAGAGGTGATGTCAGACAGATGAACAGCTCCTGCTGTTCTCTTGACAAAAGCCAGGTCTGAGACACGCTCTGAGAAGCAGCTTCAGACTCCGGTAGGGCCTGTAAGCCTCGAGAGAAGGAAAACGGCACACAAGACAGCAACATGGAGCAGAGCTGAGCTGGGGGAGAGGAGCCAAGTCCCCTTTTCCCTGGTGGACTGTTGGACAATGCTGACCCCGCAGCCAGCCTGCCCAGCCCGGGCACAGATCTGCTCATTAGGAGGAAACCCTCTCTGCTGTATCTCACCCTCGACTCCTGCAGGGCAGGTTTTCTCTTAAGGGACACAGTTCATCCTTAATGCAACTGAGGGCTGCGTGCCAAAACCCAGATTTCCCTGCACTTGGACAACTCCCACCCCAACTCGGAGGCTTCAGCAAACCTGGCAGCAGATGGTTTCTCCCTGGATCTATGCAACAGAACACGTAAGCCTCCTGCTGGAGTTTAATGATTCCCCCTCTCAAGGGCCAGTTCCAGAAATATAACAGAAGCTATAGGCTATAACAGAAACTGATCTCGGCTTCGGTCTTATTTCAGGCCTCTTTTATCTTCCCTGTTATCTGGATCCCAGCAAGTTTAGGCCTGTTTCACTCCTGCTGTCAAGCCAGAAACATTGCCGCGGCTGGTTCAAAGGCTTATCAGGCCAGGGACTGCAGCAGGAGTGCAGCTAGGGTACCTGGGTGTATAAATAAGCTTGCACATTAGCAGGTCTAAAACCATCGGCTCTAATAGGTTTGATTGTTACTAGGGCCCAGAAGCTTTGAGTAATCCTGTCATCCCTACACCCTGTCACAGGCTGTCTCCTGCCTGCACCCTGGTATCAGTATCTTACCATTCAGCATCTCTGGGGCCATCCAGTACGGGTTGCCAACCACCGTGTAGCGCTTCTTCCTGTCGCTCTTGCGCAGGGTTCGTTTCTTGGCAGATGGCTTCTCCAAAGTGGGCTTTTTTCTTTCCTCCACAATCAGCCGAGACAGACCGAAGTCCGCCACCACCACCGTCTTATCCTACACAAGGGATTCAGTACAAGCCACTGATTTCTGTCGGCTCTCTTCAGGAGCACAGAGGCTGCGATTCCTATTCACTATCAACTACACCGCAAGGGCAACTCTCCTGCAGCCAGCTGTGTGTAGCAAGCTGTCTAGACAGGTATAAGACACCCAACTCGTGATCCCAACTCAGCATTTCCTCTCGTTATTGTCTCACTTCCTGTGTGGTCGCTAACACTAATCCCATCAATTTGCCAGGGCAAACCTGGGCCTTTCCCTTCAGAACTTCCTACTCTGCCTGGCCAGGCATTAACTCAGACTTCCATCCTGGGTCGTCTGAAGCCTGCAGGCTGATCTCTTATTCCAGGCAAGGCTTGAGGGAATGAAGCCACACAAAACTACTGCATTTCAAAACGAGAGGGCACAGGCATCTGCACACACGCGGGCACTCGTCTGAATCCCGAGAGCCTATAAAGTCGTCAAGTGGCTACAGGAGCAGAGGGAGCTGTAGAGACCATTTCGCAGCTGAGGTAAGGCACAGAGCTGTGCTGCCTCCCGCAACGTGACTGGTAGTAGGAGATGCTACCACAGGAAAAGGGGTGAGAGAACAGAATGAAGAAACGGTGAAAGCTAGATCAGTCTGGAAAACCCCGTGTGAAGACGAAGCTCCCTTGTTGAGGGCACTAAAAGCCGCTCTGCAATCAGTTCCACCCCGGCCAAAGAGGACACGGCACGTGGGGAAAGCCAAGGGAGGAGGATGACAAGGAGGGGAGCAGCGCGTGGGGAACAGAGGTGTAGCTCACCAACTTGATGAGGCAGTTGTGTGAATTCAGGTCCCTGTGGATGATGCACATGGAGTGCAAGTAAGCCTGGAACAGAGGGAGAAAACTTGGTGTTAGGGGTTCCCAGACAAGTACGTCCCTTCGCGTTTACAGACCTCAACAACCAGTTGCTAGTAGTCAGGGAGCATCCACGACCTCTCATGCCCCACCCTGCTGAAGCAACCCTGACCCTGGAGGTTCGCTCTGGAACAGGGACAGTCCAACTCACCATTCCAGAGGCAATTCCTTTGGCAAAGCTGACCTTCTGCTGCCAGGGAAACGGGTCCTGAAAGACAAATCCTCAAAGGTCAGGGACTGTCCTACCAGCCAGCTGGTGAGAGCAATTCCTCTGCAACAGGGCCTCCTGCAGCAGTCAGAGAAAGATGATACAGCCCCGGGAAGGCGCCGCTTCCTGCCTCAAGCCACCCACAGCTCAGCAGCAGCTTTCCCACACAGCTCCAAAGGAGAAGGCTGACAACAAGCAGAGGCCCACCAGGCTTCCGTACTCACCGCGTTGCGGAGGAAGTCCTTCAGGGTGCCTCCGTCGATGTACTCGGTGAGGAGATTCAGCTTCTTGTCCTTGTACAGTACACCGATGAACTTCAGCACATTGGGGTGATCCAGGCTGCGCATCACCTTCACCTGGAAGCAGAGACATCCCATCCCGAAGAAGAGAAAGGAACAAGTCCTGACTGATCTGCTCGATGGTGACAAGCACCCCAATGCTGGAGGTCCCCTCCAGGGATCACGGAGTACACTCAAACCCCAACCTTAAGGCAGTTAATTAACCGTTCCCTCTTCATCTTCACCCTGTGCAATTACCCTCATCTTGGTCTTTAAGGAGAGCACCTTTGGGTTGGGCTAACTTTTAAGAGACGGGAGCTCTCCGGGGCAGCTGTCTGGTCTGCACTGCGTGTGTCAGGGCCAGAAGAGCCGCGTCAGGTGTTTAGGAGCTGCCTTTAAGCTAAATCTGACTTTGAAAAACATGGTAGGCAGCCACCAAGAAAACTGTTTAGCTTAAATACAGCAGGTGTCTTAAATATCTTACAGATATTGGCCCTCATCATTTATATGTATGCACAAGGCTCAAGGGACAAATCCTTTCTGTATTGCACAGCTCAATTGGCCTCAGATCCAGGCTGCTCTTTGCCACTGAAAAATTAATGATCTGGGAGCTGAAGCCATGTCTATTGCTCAGTGTAAGCGAGTCAGAGTTCGCTGCAGCGAACATTCAGCTCACGTCAGCTTTTCCCCGTGATGTGTCTCTCTCCTCAGCACCTTGATTCCTGCCAGGCTGCTGGCATGAACACTCTGTCTCTGGAGAGGCTGGAGGAGAGTTCCACCTCACTACTGGCTCAGAAGCTTTTTGATAACTTGCTCCTACCTCTGTCAAGAAAGTCTTCTGTGTTTCCTCGTCACAGCGAATCAGCTCCTTCATCACCATCACCTTTCCTGTTGCTTTATGAGTCACCTGATGGAAACAGAAACCACAGCTACAGGCAAGGTTCAAGAATACATAGCTCCAACGCTCTTGCAGCTTTTCTGAAAGACAGCGTAACATTCCCCTCCATCCAGAGAGGAATATAGATGGGAGAAAATCCAGACCCCAGGGGTCTGCAGAAAACTGCATAAAATTTCTCCTTTCCCAATTCAGCAAAGATTCTGTACGTGAAACAGAAACTACCTAAAGCTGACAGAGGATCATACCAAGAGACCAACAACATCCCAAGAACCAGAGGTAAGTCTCCATTTTTGGCAGCAGAGGGCTGAGCATGCATCCAGGCTCTCAAAGCCTCCGAAGGCATCAGTTCCGTGCTCGTTCATGCCTCAAGCTCTCTTACAGAAAGCACCTGCCCAGCGTGACACTCACATTTTGCACACAGACCCTACTCTGTATCTGCAAAGGAACCAACACTCACGTCAGAAAACAAACCAAACAACACAAAACTTGTTACTACATGCTTTGGTTTTATGGGGACCCTGAAGCCTGATGGTTTCTGATGAGCTTCTCAAACGCGCTCGCGTGCAAGCAGAACTGGGATGTACGGGCTGTTCTGTTAAGGCAGGCAGCAGCTGTTTTACCACGCTCCTTGGGACCTGCAAGGAATGTCCCAGAACGGTGGCAAACATACAGACACCCACCATAAACATCAGGTGAATTCCTGGCTCTCGACATGGAAAGCATTTCCAGTTCCAAGAGCTGTTTGCCTGGATCCATCTAGTTCTTGGCATTTTGCTGTCTTCTCAGAGGTTTCTTTTAACCAGCCCTGCCTTGCTTGCATGGGGTGCATGAGCCATAGAAAGGCTCCAAATTCTGATAAGCAGGTTTTCCTGGAAATCCTCTCCCCTTCAGCTGCTTAACTTGGACAGCGTAGTCTCCCTAAAATCTCCAGGGAACCTTCTCCCTAGGAACAGACAGGAACTATTCTGACCAGATACAGTACTTGTTGCATCAAAACCAATCCATCTGAAGCTCAAGAAAGGTGTCACTTTTTTGCCTTATGCCCTTTAAAATAAAAAGCCTTTCAGAAAACCTCCAGAACTGCAATCCAGAACACAAGACCCCGTTACAGTATTCAGGAAGCTTACGAGCTCTTGCAAACACTGTGGCACACTAGTTCTGTTTGGAACCATGGGACACAGCAAGGCTGACACAGGCGGAATACAAATGCATGGAATAACACATCAGAAGCAAGAGTACAATATTCTTCTGCTCCCGTCTGAAATCAGGCATCCGTATGCAAGTAGCGAGCCAGGGAACACTACACGTATTTCAGCCAGGGACATGAAAGCCAGGAACATCTAATATCCAAAGATGAAGGGAAGTGAAGAGACAAAGACAAGACATGGCTAAGTGGAATTCTTAAGCTGACATACCAGCAAAACCGAAACGAGTGTCATCATGGAACTCCAAGAGGGCAATTTTAACTCCCCGAGCATGCACCAGAACAGGATGGCTACTGGGTAATTTGAGCAGAAAAGAAACGCCTTTGTGCCATTAACTGTGGGGACACGGATGACAAAAGCATGCGACAGAGGAATGGTTCTGCTTACCTGGACCTGTTATTTCTCTACGAGCAGAGGAGAAGAGAAATATGGTCATTAGTGTGGACCGAAAGCATTGGGTTTGTATACTGGCTCACCACCTCCCACGGAAGCACGAGATGAATACGGTGGCTGGACACCTGACGTTTATGCAGGTGTAAGGAGAGAAGTCCCATACCATGGTGAACAGCAATCTGAGTGCTGAGGAGCTCACAGCACCTTGGAGAGGCAGAGGAAGCTGCCTCCTGATGCTGTCAGGGATGCCAGGATGGGAGCTGCGGAAGCACCCCCAGTCAAGACCCGAGAGCTGTTATAAATGGAATTTTGTGAGAGTCACGCGAGACCTGACCACTACCGTCTCACTGACAAGCCATTTAGGCTGTGCTGGGGTCAACCACCTCAGCCTGGCAACCCCCCGAGCATGGGTGGGTGAGAAATGCTGCAGTGGGGAGTCGAATGCACCTCCTTCAAAAGATAGGCACTTGTAAGAGAAAGCGTTGCCCATTCTCCCCACCTCACCCAGGTGGCTGCTGTGACACAGGCACTCTGGAGCTCTGAGTCCTAACTCAGGAGAGGAGTATGTATGGGCAAGTTTGACATTCGAAGGGGACAAAGTCAAAACCACCTGCAGCCAGAGACACCCACGGTCAGGGAGCGAAGCAGAGGAATGGATCTCACTGCATCAGAGGTGAGTTCCAAGACCAACCACTATCAGCAGGGCAAAGGCCACTGAGGCAGCAGCAAAGGATCCCGAGACAGGCAGACGTTGCTGTAAGCAAAAGAAATGATGAATGTTTGGCGACCTCCCTCACCTTGATTGCTTGTCCAAAAAATCCTTTTCCTAGTACTTCGCCATGAATCAGGTCACAGGGCCGGAAGATTTGCTGGGAGCAGCTAGAAGAGGAACGTAGGGATTCAGAACGACTGATGTCACGGCTCAGGAGGAGTGGTTCCTTTGGAGAACTGGGGCCAGGAGACTTTGAAATGCTGTTACTTCGCCTAGAAAGCAAAGGAGACAGGAGGATCAGGGAAGCTGCCAGGAAACTTCTGGTCCAACGTATCCCATCATTAGCTCCTATGGGCCGGGTTTCTAGATGTGCTTCAGTGCTCTTTGGGTCTCAAAAGCCAGATGCTCTCCCAGCACTGCAGAAGCTCTTTATGAGCCTAGAGCAGCTTCCAAGCCAGAGCTGCCTAACACCACCACACCTCCTGCACCGTCAGTCAGAGGTGGAGCTCTGCGCACACAGGAGGAAGATGTGAAGACGCAGCACTTGCTATCTCCAAACAAATACTAAAATACTAGCAAATAACTGAACGAGCCAGAGTGCCCCAGTCTAGGAAGGCAAGATTTTTCCCAAAACCCAGGTCTCAGCCATATTCCCTTTAAGGATACATTCTTCCGCAGTCATTTAAGGCTGGTAAAAAACTGTCCTTTACGTTTTCTAACTGTAAAACTTGGTAGCTTTTCTATGCTAAAAGTAGAGCTCCTTCTTTTTATTAAGGAAAGTTTGCACCCTGAGAGGGAATGGAGAGGGTAGGTGCCAACACAGAACCTAAAGCTTCTCCGATGGTTTGTACCACGGCTCCTGTCAGAGGTGAGTCACGTCTCTGCAGTCATTTGCAGTCGCAGGGCCTAGGCACCGAGCAGCACAAGGACAAAGGGAAGCTAGCTCAGAGGCAGCACTACCCAGTATTTACCTGAGGGAGCGTCGTCGGAGCGTCCCTTCCAGATTCTCCTTGATGTCCAGTGGAGAGAGGGAGCGTGGGGAAATGCGCGGCTTGATGTGGGTGGGAAGGTGGGAGTCCAAACAAAGCCTGTCTAAGTGCTGCGAGACAGGGTCATGCTCGATCAGCAGCTGAAGCGTCTGGCTTGTCTTGCGAATCAAGTCCTCCACCTGCAAGCAAAGCACAGGTCAGGATGATTGCAAACAGGAGGAACACAAATCTCAGGAGACAGAGGAGGCACAGCGGAATGCCCCTCAGGAATGAGAGGTCAGTGAGATCACTCCATAGTTGTGGTTTAGTTGCATGCACCACAGCTGTCTACCAGGCAGATCGAGCCAGCAACACAGCAGTTCTTTATGCTACCCAAATCCTCCTCTTTCTGGCCAGCTAAAAGTGAGAAAACACTTTTTTTTTCTTTTTCTGAGAAGCATTCAAAAACTAGACAAGCTTCCATCCTGAACAGCGCTGCAAAAAAGAGCTTTGCAAGAGCTACATGGAGAGATGTTTACTGTGCTCCTCATGTTCTCTTCAGCACCAACAGTAAATAAAACCCTTGCGTAGTGAAGGTAATGGTGGTCTCACTGCACTCCTGCAGCATCACCCGATATCTGCATACAGCATTTACTTGTAATTACAGACAGCAAATACTTCTTTTTCAATGGGAAACGCATCCCTAGATCAGCTGAGCCTCGGTCTATTAGCAGCTGTCTCCAAAGGATCAGAGGAGTGGACTTCACCAGCGACGCATGAAGACTGTTCACAGCCTCTCTGAGATGTCACAGCCCTACATGTTTCTTCTAACCTCCCTTCGTGTTGGAACACCTCAAAATCAGAAATGCAATTAGGATGCAGTTCTGTCTGGCACATTTTCCTCTCCAGCTGGAAGAGGTGGCAGAGCTTCTCTTCGTGTTTACTCCTACTGCCAGCATGAGTACTACGGGTGTACACACACCGTATGTGGGGTGGGAGAACAGCGCCGAGAAGCAGGAAAGCTGTAGGAAGGCAGAGGAGAAGGAGGACTCAGAACAGAACTCTACCCACCTCCTCCACCTGTAACGTACGAATAGGAGCTCCATTGATCTCCAGGATACGATCTGCAGGGTGGATGGCGTTTCGGACATCTGGGCTGATGTGCATCCTGTTAACTCTAAATGTGAGAATTACAGTGTGTGTGGGAAGTCAGTTCAGCCAAAAATGATTAAAAAACCCATCTCTGATGCCTCCCTTCACATTGGTATTCTGAACTAAACCAATGCTTATCTGCCAACACGGGGAGCTGTTGGGGACCTAAGACCACGTGCTTAGATCTGAGCTTGGGGAGAGCTCTTCATTTGCCCAACGGCAAAAACTGTTAGTCCATTACATTCACCAAACGTCCTGTGTTCAGTGAAGGAGACAGCACTGAGGAATCAAGTTACCAATTAAGGCTGTCAGAAGAGAAAACGGAGACCAAACACAAATGGCCGTTACCAACATACGTCCCTGTTGTGCCGAGAGAGATCCCCTCAGTCATTAAACGCCTGGCAGGACAGCAGCACTGCAGAACTTTCACCAGCTCCCTCCGCACAGACATGCGCCTTGCACACCCCCTGTCATACTCACTCTTTCACCTGGACGCCAGTGGCATAGCTGGAGCATCCACCTTCCACCGACACGGAGAAGCCCCTCTTGCCATCAGTAGCTGCTGGCATGGAGATGAGGGTCAGCGTGTAAGGCAGCTGCTCACGCAGAGACTCAGTGGAGTGCTTCTCTATCATCGGCGTCAGCACAATCTGGTTATGGCATTTTCCACTAAAAGGAGCGAAGAACATCGTTATGGCAGTGCCCTATCCCTCCCGGCCAAACCCACAGTTCTCTCACTGACCATAAGCTACAGTTTTTAGTGCTTACTCCATTCCTTCCTCCCTCCCTCCCTCCAAAGGCAGCTTCCTGGCATTCCTCAGTGTAGCATTCGGCTGAACCACGCCGAGCCAGCTACCCCTGGCTTACACACACAGCCGGGAGCAACCCCGTGGCAAAGCGTGCGGCTCCGTCTTACCAGTAGAGAGTGGAATGTTGCACGAGCGCGTAAGTGTCCCCATCTTCAATGATCACTTTGCAGCTCATACAAGCAAAGCACTCGGGGTGATATTTGTATTCGCCAGCCACCTACAGACGGAAAAGGGAGTAGCATAGTAGGGCCAAAATCCATCAGCAGATGCTGCTCTCCTCTCTAATTAACGTGTTCATTCAGTCAGGTGGCAGTTTTTGACTGGAGACTTCTAGCAGCCCGTTCTACCTTTCCTGAACCCCATCCGTGGCCCCTTGTTTGCAGAACTTCCCCGAAACGACATGCAAAGCAACGCTTGTGTCCCCGGAACCTCTGCTGTATTTGGCAGCTGCTCAACTAACAAAAATAGTGGATAGTCTGCTGCAGACTAGTAAACAAGATATTAAACCTTCCTGTTCAGTTGCTCTTGGCAAGATAACTAACGCTACACCTGAATTAATAAAGCTGAAAGGGCTTTTTTTTTTGGCAGACAAATTCAGATACTTTACCAGACAGCTGACAGAAAAAAAAGCAAGCTGAGACTGAGACAACAAAATACCTTTAAAGAGTATTTTTATTCATTGATCTGTTTTTCTATTTTCCTTATTGACAGTATTTTGCAAAGACTTCTGCAGTCAATGAGAAACTGTCTGCACTTCTCTCAGTACTTCCCTTTTAGGTAGGAATCATCTTACTGAGTACCATGCTGCTTGTATTTAAGCCCTAGAAAAATAATGGTCATGTTTCAGTTTTGACAGTTTTAAAGGTGAAATATTTGCAAGATTGTGGCAAGGAGGGGAACATTTAGGTGAGCCCCATACTGTGCAGGCAGAGTTTAGTGTTTCAAAGTGATATGGGCTAACAAGACACCAATCATCCAGAAAACTATTCTGGGCACAGTCCAGGTGGGACGTGGATGGCCACCTTCCCCAAAGCCAGAACCTGCTGCTTATCCTGAGCTGAGGTTTGACTCTGCAGAGCAGTGGATAATCAGCCCACAGAGACACCTGAGGCACCGTGCTACAGAAACCGAAGAGATGTCCCCTTAATCACCTTCCTATTTCTCAGCCTGTGCATTTCGGCACCTTGCTTTCTTCCTTCATACACTTCAGATCCTCACAACTCCCTCCTTTGAGAGTTACCCCTGTTCAAAATCATTCTCAAAGATGCACATACAATCTTTATTTCTAATCTCTGAAGTAGAGATTTGTAGTTTCTGATTTCTGATCTCTGATTAGAGATTAGAGTAGCACATAGACTATTACCATCAGTGTATCTGGTTATCTGAATAGCTAGGGCAACTCCCAACCACGTTTGGAGTCAGGGACAGGCATGTCCTGCCTCCCGGCAGGAGCCCTTTGGAGTCCTTACCATCACAGGTCCAGTCATGAGCAGCGAGCAGCCGTGGCAGGATTCCCCAAACTTCCCCCAGTAGTCTTTGTGGCAGTACAGCTTCCCATCTTTCTCATAGTACCAGTTAGTGAGGGGATCCTGACACTCGGAGCACCTTGAAGGAAACAGAGGAAGAAGGTTCCAGTTGGCAACAAGTCGCAAAGCTACAGAGAAGCTCCTCTCCTGCGTGGAGTAAAGAGACAGCAGCAGCTCACCACCAGTTCTAGCTACAGATGTACAAACCCCTCATTTCCCAATGCTTTTCCAGTTAAAATTTAGCACCAAACCCAAGGTTTGTAAGGAGAGGTGGTACCAACCGAAGCAAAGGAGAAAACAAGCTTCCAAAGCCTAAAACAAATCCCATCCGTTTATTAAAACACGTCAGTAGGTTGGTAAATTCTGCCTGACACGTTCTGGTCCCCTGCTCTCCCCCTCTGCCTGGATGCGTGCTGCCCACTGCGTGCCAGAGCTCCCGTCTCCTCACCCAGAAAGGGGCACGAAGAGGCAGGATCCGCTTCCCCCTGCAACCCAAAGCCAGTTTTGCACCAACCTGTGCGGAAGGGTTGTTTTCTGTTCTTCTGGAAGTTGAGCTCTCCCCAAAAGCAGACCTCAACTGCCCCACTCTCCACTCGAGAGAGAGTTTTCAGAGCGGCTCATCCTTTGAGCTCCACGTACTGTGTCCACCAATTAACCGTGATGAAAGCCCTCCACCTCTCCCCACCAACTGCTCTCTCATTCTGTGCACGAGAAAAAACCCACAACAAACCAACCCCAAACCAAACCATTTCTCTAATTTCAGGAAGGGAGTCTCAAAATCCTTCGGACATCACTGTCAGCTCCTCCATTTCAACAGGCCTCCATTATTAATCCTCCATCTACAATCCCCCCCATCCCAAGAAACAAACAAACCACCCCCCACCAAAAAACCCCAAACCAAGGAAAAAGATGCAGCAGCTCTACTGCAGGTCTTATTTCAGCAGATCACAAGCAGAACCCAGATCTTTGGGCTTCCTGAGCACAAAACGATCATGCCTCAGCAGGATGCACTGGGCAAGGGACTGCAACTTCTGCAACACGGAGGCGTGACTTCACGGAGAGGGAATGCCCAGGCAGCAGTGGCATCATTAAAGATTTATCCATTAGCCCTGGGCAGCACCTTCTCAGACTTTAAAGGGAGAATTGGTCTGGTATTGGCCGTTTCTGAGAGCCCAGGGCAGGTGCCCAATAGCTGGTTCAAAGAACCACCTCAAGGATCCGCGTTGTCATCAGCAGGAGGCTTTCCCAAAGGAGAAAGGGTTTCTTCTGCCTCCTACCCACTTGGAGAGGACCCGCTGCACCAGGGTGGGGGTTCAGGTGGGCGTGTGCCCTCCCGGACAGCACCCCAGATGCTCTGAGGTCAGTCAGGAGCAGTGGAGGCGCACTCTTTACATGCTCCCTGGTCTGAGAGCTACTGTTGACTTCACCTTTCACAAGCTTCCCAAAGCTTATTTGTGCCAAAGACATTCCTTGTAAACTCCACGAGCTTGTAACGAGCGTGATGACATGCGAAGCTGGTCGTGCTCCAACATGGAGAGAGTTATTTGCTCCATCTCATCAGACTAAAAAGCAACCAGGTGAAGCTGCTTGTAAAGCAGCCTATGGTTTTAGGGGAAAACACACCTCATGAGGTATTCAGTGCCGTACCCTACCCTCAGGAAAATTGCTCCTTCTCACGTATTTGGCTTTTATAGTGTTTGTTCTCCCAGCTGAGGATCTCCAAATCCTGCCCCCTCCCCCTTCCTCCAGCACGTGCAACAGGCCCTGCCAATTTTGTCTGAGGCAGAGGAGCAGTAAGTTACGGCAGCACTGGTACGTACACCACTACAGCCGCAGCCCCGGGCAGCGTCACGGCTACACCCTACTCGTGGTATGCAAGGGACCTGGAGGGCACTGCAGTGCCTTTTGCCTCCAACCACCAGCCTTTAGCTTTCGTTTCCAGTAAATACCCCACGCTGAATGATCAAGTAGGTGAGTGGGAGGGAGGAAAGAGCAAGTGGAGACTAACAGCAAAGATTTCTATCACCTCGTGGCAGGAACATCTGGCTCAGCATGGGCAAATTGGATCCCTCAGACTTACCCGACTCCCGCGTGCGTGCCTGTACCAGTGTGTGCTCCGAGAGCGATTACATCTTCAAACAGGGAGCTGTGACCAGACCTGCACTTGGGATGCAGACAGCGGTACTGGAGACTGCTCCACCAAGACCTGGCTTTCTGCCTCAGTTCTCTCCAAGCAGGTGGGTTATTTATTTGTTCTTAAGCACAACAGCTTCCCTTCCTCGTCCCTCTCCAATTTCACCTTCAGCCACCCCTTTTTCCTCCCTAAGAAAATCTAAAATTTCTGCAAAAGCAACACAACTGCAATTCTGTTTAGACAGGCTCCAGAGGATCCCATAGGTTTGTCTTCCCTTTACCTTTCCTCCACTTCTTCTGGGTTTGATTCCAACCTTACAGCACTTGGATCAGTTTGCTTCCATCCGGAAATAAGCACTGGTATCTCACTTGCAACACACCCATAGCAAAGCGAAGGTGAGGGGGTGGAGCCAGAAGCCGTCAGTTCTTTGCTATGCAATTAAACAAATCTGGGCAGGACAAGTTTGCAGCTTAAGGCTCACAACCCCACCCAGGGCAATGAGGCAACAGGAAAAGCAACCGGCCCCAGAGAAGCTAGAGGCTGGTAATGGGTCTAACTGGCTACTTGGTTAATCGCTGCCAGCAAGAGGATGCGGCTGCAGCCCGTATCGCTGAGCAGCACCTTCTGCTACTGGCCACGTGTTCAGTGATGTAGATTTAGATTTAGATCTAGAGGCTTTAGATTTAGATCTGTAGACTTTAGATTGCTCAGGTGCGGAGAACTGACGGCGCACAGGTACAGCTTTACGGCTGTTTCAGCTGTTTGGGTGCCATCGCCCAAATAACAAAGGCATACCCGATTGTTCCACATGACTCTTGCTGAAAGGCTATGTCAGAATTTTATCACAGAAGATGCAAGTTACCACTCCTTCCCTTCCCGCCTCGCTGGAGCGTGTGGCATTGCAGCACTGCCAGGGCTCACAGAGCTGAGACAGGAACACAACCACTTCTGGAGGGATTAAGCAAGCTAATCGTGGTCACTCGCCACAACCAAAGAAAGGAAGATTTCTCGCTCCTCTGTCTTTCATAGATTAGAAACCGCTAATCTTCTCCTAGATGATTTGCTATTCTTATCAGTGAGTAACAAAGCACGGTAATCAAGTTTCTTGGAGGACTGGTACCAGCCATTCTTGACGTGCTGCCTCTTGCTGCCCAGCCACCATTTCCAGAGCTGCAGAGCCCTGCTCTGATTATACAGTCCCATACATCAGGATTCCTTGCTTCCCGGCCTTGTTATCAAGAATAAATTAACCTGCCTCCCATAGCCATCCTCCAGGAACCCCGGGCAGCATCTGGGTGCAGTGTTCAGCCCTGATGCTCTGTAGCACAGCAGGTTCACAGGTCGCTGCTTGATGGCTGGCTGCTTTTGGGGGGGTGGTCGGAGGATCAGGTCACAACAGGTAACCAGCCTGGTTTTCAGCAAGATGGAGATTCAATTGATGAGGCATCTCTTTTACATCCCAATGAAAGCCAATACCCTCGTGGAAGCAAAGACTTCCCAGGCACTGAGGTGACAGATAACCCTGAGAAGGGCTCGTTATCCCCCCCCCCACTAGCAGGCTAGATCAGTTAACGCTAGACAGGCTCGAAAGAGCTGTGGTTCCAATTCCGCAGGCAGAGTGGGGGCGAGGACGGTCACGCAGACAGAGAGCTGCAGAATACAACATAACCCCAGCCCGTAGCTAACCCAAAGGCTTCTCACCCGGACTCAGCGTGGTGCAGATGCTAGAAACCAGACTACAAGACAGAGCGTGTAAGCTCTGACTACGCAGAATCCTTTCTGCACACTTAGGAGAAGGTGTATCTATAGCTTAGCATGATGGCCTACACGTATGACAAGTGACGAGCGCCTGCTCACCTTCCTCCTCCTGAACACGGATGCTGTTTCAGAAAGTAGCCTAACGCAGCTTAGCAAGTGTGCAGCAGTATTCACCCCTATCCCACACAGTTTTAACAAAAGGCTCTTTGCTCCCAAATCAGTACAACAGTGTTTGCCCAAACAGGATCAATAACGAGCAAATCCAAGCAGAGGGGCGCAGGAGGGAGACAATGGAACTGCCAGGCTTGCTTTCCCACCCATTCACCGCATCAGCACACCAGCGTCAGTCACCATCCTGGCTGCGTGCAGCCCCACTAGCAGTTTGCACTGTGGAGCTGTGATGCAACCAAAGCCCTGCGCTGTAGCTGTTGCCCTTCTCAAGCCTCATTTGTTCGACTGGACCAGGAATGGCTGTTAGTATAAAAAATACGATGGGAGAAGAATCCCTTCCAGTAAGGGAAGTGTGCTGCTTGTCCCTAGGTACCTGCAAAATACCCGATTTCTTTTCCCAAACAAGATGACGCCCTGCCTCGCTGCAGATTCCACCCCCGCCGGAACTGCCAGCACCACACCGCACCTCACCCTGGTCGCTTCGGCGGAGACATACTCATCTCACTCCCCTGGCAGTGGGCAAGCACAGGGTAAAGCGGCAAACGTAGCGTTGCTCTGAAAGGCAGCCTGCTTGCCAGGGCATGGAGACAGAGGTGCCATTCCCTCGCACCAGAGAGCTGCGGCTCTGTGGTAATGAGAATCTTCCCCACGTCCATCTCCAGCCACTCCCTGCACACAAGCACTGAACCTCATTCCTCACACACTCACTGCTCAGGACAGCATTACAGGGGGGAGACGACACTTGGAGGATCCACTGCTAATCCCGCGCAAGACTTACCGAAAGGGATCCTTGGGAGCGAAGTAAGCTGGGGCAGACAAGTAACTTCCCATCTTCAACACTGGATAAACCGGCTCAGCCGCAAACTTGTCCAACTGCCTCTGAAGAGCTCTGTTCTGCCAACATGGCAGCAGCCAGTGCTCATTTCATCCTGTGCTGATTCAGATGCTTCACCTCCCTTTGAAGCTGCCCAAGGAATGCCAGGTCTCTGGGCTGCTCATTCCTTTTCAGATTTTTCCCGGCTCCCATGGCTATAACGACCCTCTCCTGCCCTCAGCAGCCGTGGCAGCCGTGGGAAGGCCGGAACGACTGCTCATCGGAGTTGGACATGCTTCTGCAATAGTTCTGGCGAGCGCTGCTGCCTGCTAACTATTGTCAAGTTTTCCCCTCTCTGGTTCCACCCAAGGGTGGGAGGGGAGGAGGAGCCATTGCAGGAGGGCAGCGTGTGGCTACAGAGGCTGAATAAGCTCTCCTTCTTCACGAGGGGTGGAGCTTTGATCCCAAACCGGGCTGTTAATAAGTGCCGAAAGATCGCACCTCTTGCCAAGGAGGGAGTGCACAAACGCCAAACTACTCTGCAGCAGTGGCACATGCTGACGGAGAGGTCAGGGAAGGCAGTCTGACAAAGACAGCTGGCCACATCTCCAAACACATCACACTAGTGCTCGCTACACGCCTCCCTAAATCCCTCACCGCGAGCGGGGTTATGCTACCGTCCCAGTACTACAGCCTCTTCATCCTCTTGCAGGAGGGAACTCAGAGTGCGCTTCATCCAAGGAAAAATGACTTTCCACCACTGTATCATTTAACCTAATTTTCATCTCCTGAACGGCAGCTGAGCGGTATAAACCCGGGCAGACGAGCGCTCTCTCCTGCCTGCAGCACACGCGGGTCTATCAGCCTGCTTGCTCTCGAGCCAAGCAGGATCTCTAGCAGCCTAAGCAGCTAAAGCTGTTTGCAAGCCACTCAGAAACGCAACAAACATACGCTGCTGCACCGAGCCCTCCTGTTTTTGTACAGTCAGCAAAGCCTGGCATGCCTGAACACAGCCTGATGATATTCCAGAGGCAACAGTACTCAAATGTGCTTTTCCTTGCAGCTGGCATGTTGTTCCAGGGCTGCTTGGGGCTGGGACGAGGCAGTCTTGGCTGCAGATTTGACAGCCGCTTCGCTGTTGAGGTAAGCAGAAAGCCAGGCAGCCTTCGGGTTGTTTTTTCTTGGTTTTTGCTTTTTTTAACTTTTAATAAGCAGGCACAGAAAAAAAGAATAAATCATCATTTTCACGTTTTCACGTTGCCGTTTCACGGCACTGAAGAGGTGAAAATGATGATTTATTCTTTTAGAAAGCCTGGCTGTAAACGTGCAGCGAAGCCTAGTGCTGCAGGGCTCGATGTGGTTGTCAATTCCAGCACGGGTCTAATTCCCTCTGACATTTCACACAGCTCTACTGGAAGCAGCAACACGGTGAGTCTGTGTCTAGGAATGCACTCCGGTCTCCCACATTCTCTATATGTTGCGTGCTGAAAGCGGGCCAGCGCTGGCAATCCGAGGTTTCCCTGGCTATCTGCACCACCCCAAAAGACACACATACCTCCAGCGCATCGCAGAGCCCCTCCCCTGCCCAGTATCACCTACAGACAAAAGCTTTTCCCCACAATTCTGCTGCCATGGGCTGAACTCCCTCCAAGGGGGATTCCACGTGACCTCATAAATCCCAACTCTTCAGACAAAAACCTTTGAAGATTTGATCCACACATGCGATAAGCAGCCAGCTCGTCTGTGAATGAAGCCAGCAGATAAAGCCTAACTTCAAAGTAATAAAAACCACCCAGACAGCTAAGCAACTGGGAAGGGATTTTGTTGAGACTTCCTTAAAGCCAAAGGACACATAGGCAAATGTCTATTTAAACAGGAAACATCTTATCAAAATTATTTTACTTGTGCAGCAAACCCCTGCAGCAGCCAGTAGGTTACTTTTTCCTACACAGAATTCTCTTGTTACTTCTTGCCTTTTTTATGGTCTCTATGACCCATTTGGGAACACAATAGCTCTGATAAAAGGGCTCTGGGAAAGGTGTTAATGTGTTCATACACTCTAGATCTGAATTCCTGCCAGTGACTGTACTTCAAATATGCTGATAAACAGGTGGGGGGGCCTTTTCTGTGCATTGTTACTGATACCATCTCCAAGGGCCAAAACGCACCGAAGCAAATTTCTTTTTTGCCAACCGAAGTGACATATCAGCATCTTCTCTCTTGCAAATGCTGACAGCATTTCCACTACAAACATGTAGCCAGCACAGGGAGTTGCTTTCCTTACTGCAGTTTAGAACTGTACAGTTAATTTTTGCCAGAAGGAAGCCTGAAAAAATACAACTAGCAAAAGAAAGGAACAAATGAAAAAGCTTGGCAATGACTGAATATGAAATTTATTGCAAAGTGAATCGCAGCTGTTACAGTTTTATCCCCACAGCAATGCGTTGCATAGCCACTGCGATATCCAAGTGATTAATACGCAGAATGTCTGGGGTTAGGCACACCCAGACACCCTTCTTAGCACACAGCCCGTGCTGCCCAACAGCGTGCCTGCAGACTCATCCACCAGCCCCGAAACGCACATCCATCCTGGCGCGGACGGGCACGTGGGTCTGTGCGGGCCGTTCCGGCGTGGGCGCAGTTTGGAGGCATTCCAAGTACTTCAGTACAACCCCAACACCTCACTGTGCTTCCAGGGCACTGACACGCAACACGTGCTTTGCTCTTGTTGAAAGACAAAGTCGGCTCCTGACATCAGCCACTGAAACCAATACTGTCCCGATACGCACGTACCTCTCAGTGAAAGCTCTGGCGCACGGCCCTCGAGTAAACTAAAACGAAGAGCAAAGCCGAGCTCATCTCCATTACCACATCTTACTTCCACAGCTTCAGACCGACACAGCCATGCCTTCTCAGCATCTAACGGCACTAAGCGCAGCATTAGGCTGGAGACAGAATTTTCATCTCCACCGTAATCACCTAATGGCTGCAGACCTCCTGAGTACGTGTAGGCGGAGAAGCAAACCAAATAATTCAACCTATTGAAACGTCATTGATTATATATGCTTTTAGCAGCTTCTGATCTGTAAATGCAGCACAGAGAGGAATACGACCAGCACTTACACCTCTGCATCTTCGCTTCCTTCCTAACCTGCTGCTTTTGTCTGTGCACATCCCTACGCTCCTGCGGGAAGGATCCTGTTTCACTCACGTGGAAAGTCTACCACACAGTGGGCTGGGTGAGTAATTCTAATTACCTGGATACAATAACGCTCTGATAACGGTGCCCTAAAGCACAAGCTGCAGAGTCCAAGTCAACTGAAAAGAAGTTCAGACTGGAATGCCCAACTCCTCCTTAAAGGGTCGTCCCCGATGTCCTGTAGCTGACAGATTCCCCAGAGGAATGTGGCCACTTCCACATGCAAAGTGCTTCATTGTCCCTTCGGATTTTTAAACTCCCGCCACTCCCGGTGATCTGTGTACAAACAGGCACTTTGCAACTACTCCCTGAATCTGAGTTGGTGAATTTCTGTGGTGATGGAGACACCCAAGGGATATATTCTCAGGAGCCTGCAGGATTAGCGGAGAAAAGCTCTCACCTCTGAGGCCCTATCATTAGCCAGAAACTGGAGAAGACAGGGAAGAAGCGGAGATTCTTGTCTTCCTACTATTCTTGTCTTCAACTACCTTCTGTAACTACTGATCTTTCCCCTGCTCTCAGATTCAGCTGCCCTGGGTACAAACCTGGCTGTGCTGCAGCTGGAAACCTGAAGGAAGACTCAAAGCATCAAACATTCCCACATTTCATAGTCATCTCAATACACACCTTTGCTTACATCTTGATTTGTCAACATTTGTACACTGGAGCTTCATAGCCTGTCGCTGTAGGGCTATTTGTCCTCTTGTCTGTGGAGGAAGCAGCTTTTGGAAAATGAAGGCCTGTTCCAAACAGTTTGAACCAACGGAAGTGATCCAACGTTTAGAAAATCCAAGTGTGTGAGAAGAAGCTACATCCAGGGCTTTTTCAGTCCTGGAGAGACTGATGGGGGACACGATTGCTGCTTTCAAGCAGGACAAGGTTACTTGAGTACCAGAAGGGGAAAAAGGCGGTTTCCTGTGTCCGCTGGGAACACGGCTTGAAGAAATTGATGTCAGTCGCAACGAGGGGGATTTCTGAAGGCAGCGGGCAGAAGCTGCTAACGCTAAGGATAATTAAGTGCTAGCAGACATATTCTGGGAGATCGAAAACCTATAGTGATGCGAGACTGTTGGGTGACCAGCTCCTTGGTCATTCCCAAGCCACAGAAAGTACTTGTTTCAAACCTAAGTCACAGTTTAGTCGTTATCTTCAGAACCACAGCACAGATTTAGAAAAACCCCTCACAAGTCGTCTAGTTTATCCTGCAACCCCCGAAACAGGTTAACTATCTAGGCTCATAACACAGGTTTGGCAGGCTTGCCCTCCCCTGCCCCGAAATGCAAAAAGAAGTGATTCACTAAGTTTTGCTGAGCAACAAATATCTAGCACACAAAACATGCCACTCAGGATTGAAACCCCACATCTTTGTATGACAATCAAATCACTAGAGTTGGCAAATTAATAGCGGTTCTCTCTGTTCAGCAGCCTGGAGCTTAGGGCATCCCCTGGATGCATGGAGAGCTAAATCCAGTCCTGTTTTCCACCCATGGACAACTGTCACGCTGCAGAGAGTGCACAACAGGCGGGAGACGAGGGATTCTGGGGAGGATCTACCTTTAACCTTATTCCATTCCTGCAAAACAGTCAGAAGGAGGATTTGTTTCAAATTCACTTCAGAATACCAGCAGCAGAGCCAGGAGTTCTGCACTCTGCCAGACTGTTCCGTGTTTTCAAAGTACTCATCTAGAGAAAACAGCCTTCTGGGGCTTACAGCACCTCCGTGTTGTGGTGTCCGGCCCCAGTAAGGTTAACAGAAACTGAAACGGGGGACACGTTCAAGCAGAGTACAAGCACCCAAACCCTAAACCACCTGGCAGG